TTATGCTTTTAAATACTCTGAATACAAAAACAAACTTGTTTATATTTTAGCTATATGCATAATATACTAATAAAAGTTTTCTTTTGTTCATATTTTTGCAAAATTTGCAAAAACTTTTTCTTCTTTCAAATCGAACTGGCTCTACGCAAAATCGGCACGTTAACTACTACCGCTATGTCTACTCGGCCCCACGCCCATGTAAACCACCAACAACAATTATCGTATTATTTACTGTATCTGAAATGGCAAACAAAATCACTTAAAAACCAACCAAAAACGCTCGAAATTGCAAATTGGATATGCGCGAAACAAAAATATATATAATATTTTATCAGGACTTTACATTGGATTTTTACTTTCGTCAATTTTGGACCGATCCTCGTTTAGCGTATAGAAAACGGCCTGGTGTAGAAACACTATCGGTTGGATCTGAGTTCATAAAAAATATTTGGGTACCTGACACCTTTTTTGTAAATGAAAAACAATCATATTTTCATATTGCAACAACAAGTAATGAATTCATACGTGTTCATCATTCTGGATCAATAACACGAAGTATTAGGTAACAAAGCAAATTAAATTTCTAACTATTTCTTACAGAAAACGAATTTTTATGACTCATTTTTCTAAAACAAAAAAATTCAAATATCAATATCATTTCATTTTAAATAAATGTCGTGTGGTTTTCATGAAACAAACTGAAACAAAAAAGCAAACCAAACAAAAAAAAATATTAAATTATTTAATGCTGTCTTGTTCGGTGTACAAATTTTGTTTTTTCTTTGTATATATATACATACATATATATATGTATTAATACTTACTAAATGTCGTTCTATGTGTTTTAATTATAATTTCACTTCATTTATTGTTTTATATGATCAAAATGGGCACATAATTTCATTTAAAGTGAGTTCAATTGGCAAAAGTGAATCGTCTTATATACATTTATGTATTTATACTAACTATATGCTATATATAGTATATTACCAACATGATTATAGCTGTTCAGTATGATTAAAATTTTAAAACAATGGTAATTACTGTCTTCATGCGCTGTGTCTTGAAAGCGAAGCTAAGGCGTCAAATTGACACTCCACGCTAGGGCTGCTATATTTTCATTATTGCTTCCTGGACGTGGTCTATTTGGTTGAATATTATCCAATACTTGTTCACCTATGCTTATGTCGATGGGACGGCATTTTTTATTATTCTTTCAAGGAACATTTATTATCTCTTTATCGAGTATTTCTCTATATTTAAAGGTATTTAGTATAACCAAAAAATTATTTTTGGTTGTCTATTTGAAGAACTTTAACTGATGGTTACATCGTTAATCTGGTTAAAATGATAAGGAATCATAATAATAGTATTCTTCTATGGCAGGCACTGTATACGTATAAGGCAGAGTAAACTCTTTAAGACAAAATATTGAGTTTTACAGAATAATTCCAGTACAGAAGGCTAGCTTTTTCCTTAAATATATGTTGTTACACAAAAAGAGACAAAGTGATATGAGATCTTATAGGTACAAAAGAGATTGCATAAGCGGACAAGCCCGGCCAGGAACTTATTCATCGTTCAGCTACTTTAAAGGCTTCAAAGACCTTCTTCAAGGGGTATTTTAAGTACCGAAGTAAAAATACAGAATTTTTGATTATTCTGATTGAAAAAAAAAAAAAAAATCTCGAAGATCGAGAGAATAGTTTCCGGGCTGTTATATTTATAAAAATCGTTTATGCTAAACAATATACTCAATATATACTCAACACGACTGATTAAAATACAAATAAGAGTATTTTTTTGCACAGCTGAATGAACCGCAGAGAAACTAAAGAGTCGCCGAAAGAAACATAGCGCATGAAGTACTTAGCTTGAATTTATCACACATTACACTTCCTCATTACAAAAATTGAATATGCACTAATACTTTGTACAACAAAAATTATACAATAAAGAAGAAAAAGGTTAAATTAAAGATGGAAAGCAAATAACCACAGTGTGCAGTGTATTTTACACCGTAAAAAGGTTTGCACTCCCTGGAGAAATATTTTCTACTACCTTTAAACAAGAATCTGTCCAAAAATAAGAAAAAAAAAATAAAATAATCAAAATGAATTAATTGAAATGCACAAAGGCAAGGAGCAAAATGCAAATTTGAAGGAATTCGCCACAACAAAGGATATGCACATGAAACTGCATGGTTTGGCAAATGCAAAGAGGACGTGCAGTGAGCATGTAGTGAGCGTGAGCAAGTGTTATAAAGCAAAGAGGTGATGGCGTGTAAGTAAGTCGTTCGTTAATAAATGCTTGACATATATTCCTTGCTCATACAATAACCTTATGTAAATATATGTACATACCCAACCAAAATGAACCAACAAAGAAAGACGAAGCAGAAAGCAAGGTATTGTCAATGCAATATACGAATACGTGCATACACTTGTATGTGTCTTGGAAACGTAGGTGTAATTATGTATTATTTAGTTTAATTTGCATATAACAGCATTAGTTATAGTATATGTTAACATATAATGATATATATATAATTAAATAAACATATTATACACTTACCAATATATGAAGTGTGTGAAAATAAGCACGCAAAAAATATTTTTTAAAGATTATATACTCTAAAAACTGCATTATTTTATAAACAGTAGTTAAATATTTGCAAAACTTAATTTATATTTTCTTTTAAACTCATACTTAGCTTAGTGAAGCTTGCCAGCATAACTCACAAATATATTACAAATTATTCAAATATGTAACTAGTTACGAATTAGTGCCCATTAGATTATCAATACATTACATACGATATATGCTGCAACGTATGAAAGATGTGAAAACACACACATTTTTATAAACATATTGTAAACAGTAAAGTACTCTTTTAAAAATCCAATTGAGCTCGCTGATCTTACAATTTCATCTTTATTTTTTTATAGGGAAGCATTTATAGGATATTCAGAACATGTTATTTGTGGTATTCGAAAACGTTATGGAAGATACTACACATTATAAAGCAACAAAAAATTATTTAAGCTTGTACTTTTATTACTAAAGTGCACATAAACTTAAACACCTTTTTATGATGTGTGAATTTTAATACCGAGAACGTATATTACATGCAAGCTGCTTCATCAATGACACGCCCATCAAATTATTCTTTATTATTCATAAGGGAGCATTCTGCTCTAAAAACCTACATTTTAAGCATCTTTATACTCTTGCAACACGTTGTTATAGAGATAATAATTTAGTTCACCTAACCGTTCTACGTATCACCTAAAACTATTAGTGATAGATATAGGGTTATATAAACATATATAAATGATCAAGATAGCGGGACTAGTTGATCTCCGGGTAACTGTCAGTTTGTCTGTCCGCTCTTCCGTGCAAGTCATAACTTAAGTTAAAATTTAAGTATGAAACCTTATGACCAAAAATTACGTACATCCAACTAACACTGTTCCAGCTCCTAGGAACCCTTTACTGACAATAGTTACTCTGTGTATCAAAAAAGGTGTAAATACTTCCCTGAGCTCCCATTTATCAACCAGTATAAGTAAAATATCTCACTGAAAATTACAGAGGGTTTTTTCAGATCTCATAGTTGTGTATATTTTTGCTTAAAAAAGATAAAAAAAAAGACGAAAACTTGACCTAGCCCTCATGCAACTAATATAATTATTTTTAAAAATCCGGCTGACTTTTACTGGGGTGATTGTATTTTAGGTCACTTAATGAAACCGGGGGAAAATGTTTAAACCCTGAACAGAGTATATGAAGTTTGCTACGAAGTTTGTAACACACAAAAGGAAGCGTCGGAGACCCTATAAAGTATATATTTAAATGATCAGTATGTTGAGCCGATTTAGTCATGTCCGTCTGTCCATCTGTCTGTATATATACGAACTAGTCCCTCAATTTTTAAGATATCGTTTTGAACTTTTGCAAACGTCATTTTCTCTTCAAGAAGCACTCATTTGTCGGAATTGCCGATATCGGATCACTATAACATATAGCTGCCATACAAACTGACTGATCGGAATCAAGTTCTTGTATGGAAAACTTTATTATTTGGCAATGTATCTTGACAAAAATTGGCACAGGTTGTTTTCTAAAGCAACAAAGTTATATATGAAGAAATTTAATTTTTGAGTCCTGTTTACTTTGGAATACACCTTGTAGTAGTAGTACCAACTTTTGTAGTGATCAAAACTAAAATTCTTCATTAGTAAAGATATCGCTATCAGATTTGTAAAAAAAAGGAACTTAAATTTATTACAAGTCAACCTTTTCAAATATTTTGCAAATAAATATTCTCAAAGTGGTTAAGTAGAACTTGTAATATCATGTCAACTACCACCGGTTTAGGTTCCATGACAATTAAGCGGCTATAATTTCGGAAATGATTTAGGTATTGAAAACCCTTCTAGAGTCTTATTTTTGAATATCTAAACTAACGAATTATGAAATAAAAATAATAACCTCCACGCTCTTTGTGCTTTCATTAAGATTCCGCTCCAGCACATAATTCAAAAACTTCTTCTAGTACTTAAAAATGAAAGAGAATCGAATTGCTCTTTTTCAGACTTTCATAAATATGTATTTAGGGTTATATGAAGTCTTCACAATTTAATAAGAAATTGTGGTTAATTACTAGACTTCAACGGGACGACGTTGATTCTTTGAACTTATGCTATCTGAAACAATACAAAAAATTGATGATAGTCTACATAAGACTTGTTGGGGATGTATGTTTTTAGCCTTGGCCGTCAGAACGCTTAGATTCCGTGTGTTTCTTCTACAGGGATCTTTTTTTTCAAGCTCTCATTAATAAATATCCTCTTATATGTTTTGTATAACGCTTACTTACAATAAAATGGGAGACAATTGACGTATGCATTATTTGCTAACTTGCGTTAATTGTAAACTAATTGAGAAACATTTACTTAAAATAGCAAATTTGTTAAAGCGAATCCTTAAAGTGAGAAATCAAACAAATTGAACATGTCTGAATATCCTTTTAATAGTTTGTTTGTATGTTACAAAGCTTAAAAATAATTGTGCTTTACAATCTTATTTTCAATATTTACGTAACATATATGTTACAACAATAAATAATTTGATTTATAAAAAACTTAGTTGATGCCATTTTCTAATACTTAGATTTTTTTGAAAATTTGCTTGCCGGATATATAATTACAGATTAACAATTACCGCATCGTGTCCAATGAATCTGCAATACTTTCCTATGGATCGACAATTGTGTCACATAGAAATCGAAAGCTGTAAGTAATTATTCAATTATTATTCACACATATAAGTTTATTGATGCTTAAGGCTTATTCCAATAAGGTTATTTGCTTATACTTTATTGTATGTGACTAGTGGTGTTAATATCATAATATATATACTATATATATAGATTATATCATATATGAAAGTATATTTACATTCAGTTATTTACATACTAGATTAAGATTATATAGAATAAAACTGAGATAAATTCTATTATAGGGAAGACGAAGTGATCTTAAATTTTATTTTACTTAAGATTGTATGAAATACGGGTCCTTAATGAAATAAACTCAATCGAAAAAGTGTTCAGGTAGTTTATTTTACATTGACTTGAAATTTCCGTTTGTTTAGATTATATGCATGAATAAGGACTCTTCTACAAAAGAATAACTATATATAAATAAAGAGGGTAAAATAAAAACTTATATGTAGACAAGCTTTTAGTGAAAGCTTATGCGCTTTATTTTCAGATGTATTCAAAACTTAAGTACTTCTATATAGTGATTATTTATTATTATACAATGAAATTTGTAAAGTTTGCAAACTTATCAAATGACTTGGAATGTGCAAAACAGTGGCATTGAGATACTCCAGAAGCCACAGTAAGGGTTAATACAAACTAAAATTACTTTTGTTGAACTTCGACTGAATAAAAAGCCAACATTAAACAAAATAAAGTTATGCCATCTGCAAATTTAGCCAAAGAAATTTTGCACAAACTTTATGAAAGCTCTTTGTCGATTATTATATTGTTTTTAAAAGCTTGCTTAAGCTCTACGGATGTATACTTTTGTATGGTATTTGTTTTTTTCTTAATTTTAAATTGTCTACTTACATACTTAAACGAACTCATTTGTTTTATAAAAAGAGCATTTCGTAAAGCTAATATTTTCTTAAAAACAATTTTTAAATTAAAAGATAAGGAAAAACTCTCTAAGCTCATGGTGAAAGTTAGATCATAACATATACTTATACATTTGTACTACAGATGAAGGGAAAATTCTTTAAGACATACCCACATGCAAAGTTCTGCTGAAAGCAAAAAGTCAAAGTTTTACTTGATGTACTGACGCCTCAGATACACTTACTAACAAATAACTGCTTTAAACACGAGCTAAAAGCAAATATATATCACCTAAAACACATTATAAATTTATTTTTGGAAACAGAAAACCTTTCTGAAATAAACCACCTATTGTATTGGAGCGCGGACTAATACAATCACCGCTGTTTTAGGTACAACTATGCCATTATCTCTTTGTACAAATATATATATTTCTTTACTTAAACTATTTCGAAATTTCAGAACTAACTATTTACTTACTATGTCATGAACGATATTAATTATAAATTCATTTGATAATGAACGCTTAGTAATAACAAAATAGCAACAATGAAGTTGAACATGCGTGTTATGGTCTGTCAAAGTCGGACTAAAAATAAAATAGCACAACTTGTGTTTAATTTATGGCAGGCTTACGTTGGAAAAAATTTTAATTATTTATTATTTTGAGGCAAAATAAGTAATTTTTTTCTAATTATACTTTTTTTAATTAATTATTAATTTTTTTATGTTTTCAACTACCCAAACCTAAATCATCAGCGTTTAATTGAGTTAGTACAAATATTCCTCACTTGAAACAGTTTAACTACAAATACATTCAAAATCAGCGCTCTTTATGAAACTACCATCTTCACTTTAGCAACTATCCAACAACCAATCGTAGTCTTCAAATTCATTACAAAGCTCTTTTAGCCAATTTTCGCATTTTATTTGAATTATTTTAGCATAAACTACATATTCTTGGAACTTGCAGTCACAAGAAAGTAACTTACCGTATTTAGCAGAGATAGTAAATAAATAAAATCAATCAGATGAGAAAGAAACGTATTAAGCTGGTTGGTTTTCGGTCGCCTTCTTTTCTTCAATTGTAATGACAGAAGGAGATTCGGTCAGCCATAGTCATGTGTATTTTCTATAGTCGTAGGAAGAAAGATTTAGTACTTAAATTGTCATAGAAGAATTAAATAAATTTTAAATAAGTTCTTAGTGAAAACCTTTCCATAATATTTACATATAATGGTAAAATAATGTATATCAGATGGTAAGCTTTCTAGTTTATTTTCGTAACCATACCTTTAGCGCTAGAATAAGTAACAAATAATACAGGCATCTTTTAGAAAATTTTATCATCATTGCGATTCATTTATTGTTTATTGCGTCCTCATTTCGAATTTGTGTAACACGCAGAAACTTCAAATTTAATGGGGAATGTTTATTATTATATTTTGAAAGACCATTTTGGGAATACATTTTTTGAAGGTTTTGTCTTTCAAATGTTGGTCGTGCCTTACTCTCTGATGGTCCATCCATTGGGTCCATTTTTCGATACCTTCTTCGAACACGGACTGGAAACTGGCGATGTTTTATTCCTAAATCGAAGCGAGATTGTCCGCATAGACTTTAGACTTTACACATCTCAACAGATAAAACTTTAACGGTGTCATATCATATGATCTCGGTGGCCAATCACCTGGTCCAACACGTGAAATTATCTATTCGACGAAGTGTTCTCTCAATAAATCTATTGATTGTTGCGATGTAAGATAAGTGGAGTCGTCTTGTGGAAATGAAACGTCGCTAATATCACGAGGTTCAATTTCAGTCAGCATTTTGAAGAAATATTCACCGTTGAATCCACCGGTCCACAAACCACATCAAACCGTTGTTTTTCCTGGATGAAATGACAGCTCTTGATTGTCTCCAGGTTACTCTACGTGTCCCAAACTCGGAAATTTTCTTGTATACATAGCCATTGGAGCAGATATCGGCCTCAACGCTGAACAAAATTTTTCTCGAAAACGCCGGATCTTCTTGGAACTTTTCAAAAACCCATAAAGCGAAGCGACTTGAGAAGGTCGAGTTCTTGCACAAGCTGTATTTTGTATGATTTCAATTTTATATCTCCATGTAAAATACGCCAAATCGTTCTGTACGTTAGTCCGGGATGCTGCGAACGGCGACGAATCGACTCTCCGCAGTATTCGTGTACATTCAAAAAAATTAGAAAAATAACATGACACCTTGACATGACTCACGCGTGACTTGCCAAAAAGGGGATATTGAAAGAATAAGGTTGTCTTGCCTAGATGGCCAGTCGATGGAACTCTATGGCAGAGTGAAATTATAGAACCGTGTTCTATCCATTGTCATGTTATTGTGATTGAATACCTCCAGTTCAATCATAAATTCCTTGTTGTTTATGAATAACTGGATTTTCAAAGTTCGACACTGAACAAACCGCTCAAGAATGTTTGCTTTGTTAGTCAAAAGTCTTTCCTTCAACAATCGAAGAAGTTTTACCCGTTTTTTTGAATATTATATCTAATTGTAAACAGTTACTGGCAGTCCGATAAGTATTTAGGACGCAAAAACAAGTTATGATTGATCAACATAGTCTTTGCTTATCCGACCATGCGATCTGTTAAATTGAGATCGTCGAATTTTGTTATATTATCTCCCATGGTAGGCGTTTTAGGGAAGAAATAAACGTGTCTCAATAAAATTAAGTTTTGGGGACGTTAAAATCTGTTAAGCCAATTCTCGGCTGCCATTGAAGGAGAAGTTTCACTGTGTATACGTTAAAAAACTAGAACCGAATTATTGATGAATATTACGGTATGAGAATGGCGTTTGAAATAATAATAAATTCTCTAGCGATTGCGGCTTAAGGTGGTCTAATGTCTGATCCCTCGTGCATGGAAAAAATGTGTTTTAATGTTTGATAGACTTAGGATTCTTACGAAAGGCAAAATCAATTCAATTAAAAGTGCAGTTAAAGTCAAGTCGTTTCAAAGGTAAATTATTTGTCGAATAATTCAGATCAAAGAAGAATACATAAGGCCTAAATACAAACTTCTTTAAAGGTAGAAGGATTTAAGGTATATTCTTGTTTGTTGCTAAGTAAAACTAGTATTTTTTTATACTCTTGCAACCATTTGCTATAGAGTATTATAGTTTTGTTCATCTAACGGTTGTCGTATCACCTAAAACTATGCGAGTTAGATATGGGGTTATATACATATAAATCATCAGGGTGACGTTGAAATCCGGTTGACTGTCTGTCCGCGTGTCCGTCAGACGTGCAAACTGTAACTTGAGAAAAAAAATGCGATATCTTGATGAAACTTGCCATGTAGGTTCCTTACTACAGAAAAAGTTCGTAGATGGGCGTAATAGGACCACTGCCTCGCCCACAAGTTGTGATAAATGGAAAACATATAAAGTGCTTTAACCAAATACTAAATTAAGATATAAAACAATAATTTGGCACAGGGGATGGCAGTAGCAAGGAACACCTGTGGATAAAATTTTTTTGAAAAAGTGGGCGTGGCCCCGCTCCTTAATAGGTTTAATGTACATAATACTACTTAAGCTACAATAACCAAATTCTCCAAGCGCAAATATTCCAAGAACTACTATCGATAGTGTGAAAATGGATGAAATGGGATGAAAACCTCGCTTAGTTCCCATATAATGGTACTGTTCACAACCACTAAAAGCGCGATAAATCAATAACTAAAAACCCCAGAAACTCAAAGATTCATCGCCGGAGTAGTATGACAAATCTTTATAGGAACCGGGGTAAACATTTGGCAATGGGCGTGGAACCGCCCACTTTTGGGTTAAATAACATATCTCGAAACCTGACTGACCGGTGTCTATAAAATTTGGAACAAGGCATGTTTTTATATTCCTATGTCACTATGTGAAATCGGACAATAAGGACGCCTACTTCCCATATAGCACAATCTTAAACTACACTTAATTCTTTTACTTTCCATTAAACAAACCGAGAAGCAGTTAATATAATCGGATCAAACTTAGCACGAATAATGCCTTTAATGTATGCCACCTTGCGACAAAAAATTTTTCAAATGTGGCCCCCGTACCTATAGTTGACTTTTGCTCAAAAATATCGGTCAATGT